CCCCCAGTTCCGGCGTCCCTGAATATGAGTATAGTCATAAACTAAGTGGAAAGTATATTCATTAGTTACGTAACATACAAAGGATTTTCCTCTTAATAGTAATAATCTTTGGTGATTTATAAATAGCATTGAAAATTGAAGTGAATAGCAAAGCAACATTTATTATTATATATCAATAGTCAAAGTCGCATTTTTCTAGTGTTTTATTGGTTGAGAACATATCACGTGAGAGTGACGAAATTAGGCTGTCTCCCTCGCAACAGCGCAAGAGGGAGATAATACGTTATCGACCGGCGAATAACAAAAACATTCACGTGCGCCATCACGTGAAGATGCGACCTTTGGACATTCCTAGTACGTAATTAAAACTTTCGCTTCAAGTAACTGCAGTGTAGCCAGTGTTTAATTTAACGTTTTAACAATAAAATATTTCATGTATTTACGTTCATTTGTTCTTTAATTTGTTGTTATATAATAAAACACTTATTTACTGAGACCACAAAACACACTGTTTCCCTCGGTCTCAGTAAATAAGTGATAATTATTCTTTTTCAGACACATGGATAATGACACGGATTTAGGACACGACCCACGACATGTCCACGGATCTCGGCACGACGTCCCCGTCGAAGCAGTCACGATAGTCCTCGCTATCCTAATTGTCCTCAGCGTCGCCGGAAACTTGTTAGTATGCAGTGCATTCGTCATTCAACCACGCCTGCGCAGAGCGCTCTATTTGCCAGTCCTAAGCCTCTCGGTTGCTGACGTGATGTGCGGCCTGGTCGCCATGACGTCGTACTTGGCGAAGAAACACGTTTTTGGCGGGAAAAAGGAACAAGTTGTATGCGATATTTCGCGATTTTCCTATTTTCTCACAGAATACGCGTCCGTGTTCAGTCTCACTATAATCAGCGTGGACCGGGCTCTGGCCATTGTTAGACCACTAACATACCAAACTACGGTCACGTCTCAACGTATGAAGGCAGCTTTAGGCTGTACATGGTGTTGGGCCATCATAGTGTCGGCTTTGCCATTTTTTTGGAAAACAGAAAAAGACGATGGTTGTTATTTTAGACCGACAAACGAATGGAGTATGGCAGTGATAGTGGGGAATGTCTTGGTGCCATTCTTGCTTATTCTGGCGTGCCAATTTTCGATATACGTTATTGCGATTAAACATGCTATCATTATTAAACAACAAAGAAGAATCAGCATGGTGAATCGGAGAGGTAGCACGCCCCGGACTGAGGCATGGGCAATAGAACGAAAAGCCACTGTGAGTTTATCCATTGTTATTGGTTTATTCATCATATGTTGGGGTCCGTCTACGCTATACTACTTTCTACAGAAAGTGAGCCCGGGGTATTTCGAAGGAACTTTTGGCGAGTACGAAGGCACCTTCAACGCCGTAGTAAAGTTGATGACTTTCGCTAATAGCTGTTTTAATCCTCTCGTTTATTCATGGTTGAACAAAGACTTTCGTCAAGCCTTTCTGCGGGTATTGAGTCGAAAGAGGTACAAGAATGCCGTGGAGAAACAAGCCAGCCAAATAAGTCATCATGAACTACTGATAAGGCAAGCGAGCAAGCCTACGATGGTCACATACGAACACTCGTGATTATTGGTAGGGGAAGTTTATTTCACATCATTTTTTATGGTTGCATTGTAATGAAAATTCAAAATGACCAGTGAGATACTTTGTGTCGAAGTCATTTACTGCCACAAATACGCAACGTTTCGCTACGATACGACTGAAGTGGAAAGCTTGGCTTAAGAGCCGTGTTGAAATAACTCTATGTCAACACGGAAAATTTCTTTCTTTATATTTCTTTGTGCTATATTATATAAAAATATAAAACATTTTTCCGTATTGATATACAGTTATATCAACGCTCGTGGAAATTGGGATAGTTTGACAAAGCATCTTATTTAGTCATTTTGTATTTTCTTTCAAACATAATTGACATAAAAGAATGGAGTGAAATTTCAATGCATTAAGCACTTTACGACGACGGCAAACAAACTCGTTGAACTAAATGATTGTAAAGAAAACCTGTCGTCTATTATCCATCGTATGAAATTAATACGGTTTGGTAAATACCAACTTAAAATGATCGTGTTTTGTGATTGGCTTCATAAAACAATAGTCATCAGTGTTTATGACTCGTTCTTTAGATAGGTTCATCAACCAAGCACAAAATCCGTTCATTTTAGGTCGGTATTTACCTTGTACTACACACGTAAAATTTCACATCTTGTCAACAAGACGTGTTCGCAACAGGCATGTAGCAAGCATGTCAACAAGTTGTAACAATGTTGTTAGTTTATCAAGTTGCTATAAGGTTGTCACTCCAAGGTGTTGAATTGCAGGACGATAACAAGTTGTTGGAGCAACTTGTAACAAGTCTGTTGAGTTCAACAACTTTGTAGCAAATTGTTAACAATCCGTTGACAACTCTTCAACAAACTGGGGACAAGCAGTGCGAACACATCCTGATGACAAGTTGGTTTGTTATGGCTGGTTTATACTACTAGTCTTACTACGCTCAATAGTTCAATCGATTTTGCCGTGTAATTATTTCATTCTTTATTTTTGCCGCCTCTATGAAACACGTTTTATTATGGTGCAGGTTCATCACAAGTTTGGTAATAAATAAAACACATGCATTTTTGTGAAAATAGTTTATAAAAGCAAAGGGTAAAAAATCGATAATTATCAGATGATATTTAAGTATATATTTATACAATAAAGATGGAGATTAGTTTATAAGGCTTTTGTCATTCTTTTTTTGCTTTGCTCATCAGCGCCGGAGAAAAGGTCAAAAGGATGAGAGTTGGCAAGCGAGAGTTTGCATGAGAGTTTTCTCAACTCCGGCTAAGCCGGTTTTCCACTAGCGAATTTTCTCGCGCGAAGCGACCTTTAGGAATATTTTGATGAGGGTACATATATTCAGAGTATTCATAACTTATTTACTCGTTCACATCGATCAGAAGAAGAAAATCACGCTACAAATCGTAGCAAAAATTGCAAGTGTAAATGGGCCTTTAAGAGTTGATGAGAGTTGATTGGATATTACCACGCACCTTTCATCAAAATTTGAACCAGCTGAAAGTTGATGAGAGTGGATTAGGTGGTCCTTTAAGGCAAGCGGGAATGGACCTACTCATTCTCCAATGAACAAAATTTTGATAATATATCCCTGCGAAGTTTGTATTACGCGCGGGAAATTGATACCTTTTGTCAGAAAGCGGTATCAATTTCCCGTGCGTAATACAAAATAACTGAAAAACGGCAAACTTCGCAGGGCTATATTATCCGCATTTTACAACATTTCGCAACGAAACTTCGGAATATTACTAATTTTGTGATACTCTTTCAAGCTGTGATGAAATTTTTGTCTAGACTTGTCTGCATCAAAATTTTGTTCATTAGGGAATAGGTCCATTGCAACTATCATCAACCCTCATCGTTGTTTGACCGAGGCTTTATAGATGGACAACAGTATTATATCAAGAAAATATCAGGAATGACTTTCACGCAGAACCATTACCAATAGATCACACTATTCTAGTTATAGTCTATCGTGTGTTTACATAAGACGGCTGATCAATCAAACTATAATATAAATCCGCCCAATGTCATTTGGGAGCCTGCCCTTTACTCCAAATTTTTTTCATCACATTGTTCAAACTGGGCTTTTATCTCGTCAGGTATTTCTACTTCGTGTAAGTTTGCCATATTGTCCTCGGGTTCGTCTCCGATCAATATTTGAACGAGATTTTCGATCGCCTTGCAAACGTTCTCGTCTTTTTCCCACTTATGAAGTTCCCGTATGATGACGTAAGCGTTCTTCTCTTGGATGTATTGCCGACCAGATTTGGTGGAACAGAGCTGCAAGATACGTAAAGAAATAGAAAATCGTGCTGTTAAAGACTGCAAAGTAACGTGCAATGGTAATATGATCTTGCATAAATTGCCATGGGTCTCGTGTTTGGATGACGTAATATTGCGAGATTTATGAGTGCCTAAACGCACTAAATGGCCAAAGTGTTGGGTTGTTGTAGAACTAAGATTTTAGAAGAATTCTTTATCTTATTATTTCGAATTCTAAATATTGTTAGTTTTATCTGATATTTTAAATTATTGTACACAATCTAGTACTTGTAAAAGCTATGAAATTACGCATATGAACCTCACATTTACTAAAGAGAAACTTTAATTTAAAAATACTACAGTCTTCTTTGGGTTACACAAATCAACTTTCAATTATGGGAAGATTGAAAAAATTACTAAGAAAGTAATTTTACCATCATAAGACATTCAATCAGCATCATTCTTATCTCATGGTCCGTTTCACGTTCCTTATCATCTCCCAGATACTGTAGATCCATTGGTAGCTTGTCATTTTCGCTTTCTGAGAATTCCTCTGGTCCAGCCAATGATAATAAGAGTGTGGGCAAGATATCAACATTGTCACCAAGCAACCAATCATGGCAGTCTAGAAAACGTTAGGATAGATTTCTAGGATATTGAGGCTTAATGGAAGCACAATATTACTACTGATGTGTCTCTTGCAATTCAGCTTTTAATAGCTCTCAACACAAGTATAAATGATTGGGACCCCCCCCCCCCATTCACTTACATTCAATTACAGTATCATCCAAGGCCTCTTTTAGCATGTGGGGGAGGGGGGGGGGGTAGCATAGCCCCAACTCCCCCAACAAAAGTTCTTGGACATATAGTCATTCATTCAGTACTTTGAAACCTACCATATTCAAAACAACAATTCCGGATAATACCAACAATCCCTTTTCTACGCACCACAGACTTTTGAAAACCAACGTATGGTGACAATTTTTGCATCAAATCTCCGACTTTATCAAGGACTAACATTCGTACCACCTTAAGCCTGCTCATGTTCGATAGAAATGTTGCTAAATGATGCAGCTCTACATGTTCATTATATTTCTCATTGCAAAGCACATCAAAAATCTTCTTAAGGGAGTACTGCGGTGTTTTTTCAACACTTTTCAAACACAATTCGCAACCTTGTTCCGATCTAGTTAAATTTGACAAAAGCATAGCTGCTTTATCAGCAAATATACAATCTTTGTCAACGATCTGAGGTAATATTAACTCAAAAGTATTAAGATTTTCTAGTTTTCTTGCCACGATTTGCGAAGCTGATGCATTTAAGAGAAACACGCAAGCGTCTTTCTGCACTCCTTGCGACTTCTCGCTGGTCAATTCAATAACTTTTTCGACCAGTTTCAAATTGTTTTCTATAAATTTAATGCCATCTACGCTTCCAGTTAGTCCAAGCAAGTATTCCAAAGCCAAGCTTTTCACGTCTTCTCGTGAATCTAACGACAAATATCCAAAAAGGTCGGTCAGTTCATTTTCAGGCGGGTTGGCCGCCATCTTTTTTTTCTTGACCGAGGCAAGAGTTGGGAAGAGTAAGCACTAGTATAAAAATGGCGGGAAATCCCGGCAAATTAGAAATATAGAACAGTGATATAGAAACATTTCATTGAAAATTGGAAATATAAATATTCCAGCTGCAAAAATAACTTTTTTATAGTATATTTTTAAATTCACTTTATGAATACTGACACTTTTAGCTTGGAGCACCTTTCAAAGGATAGTTGAAGTCAACGTTTTTGCCATGGAATGGAATGATAAAGTGATATTAAACATTTTCAATTTTGGTATAGTGCTTTATATTTGTTTTATATATATATATATATATATATATATATATATATATATATATATATATATATATATATATATATATATATATATATATATATATATATATATATATTCATGTTTATTCCACTTGAGATTTGACTGAGATCTCAGCATTGAAATGAATATACTGGAATGCTATATTCAGATAAACTGCCTATCTTTTTCTTGAAGCCAAACCTTACTGGAACTGGCCTTCAAGTATGGCTTCAAATTTCCGGTTGGAGGTAGCGTTCCAGTTATATTCATTTCAATGGTTCTCAATCATCTCACCTAGTGGGACTGACTTGTTTCTTGTATGAACACAAATTTAATTTGATATGCATTGACAAATCGCATGCAGATCTCACTATGATCTCACTTAGGCAAGATTCCTGGACAACTAGGTTCTTGAGCACTTTTCGGTCAGCCAGCCGGCATGAGAGCCAGTCAGTTTTACATTTGTGTCCTTACAAAAATTTATTCTTGAATTCTATAGTATAAATATTTTCATTTTTGAAATATTCTGGGTACAAGATTGAATCTTTGTACGAGATAATGGGGGTTTTGAAGGGACTTTTAGGGATTGTTTGGGGATATTTTTTAAATTTGGGGGGGGAATTGTTTTGGATATGTAGAGAGTTTTTTGGATTTCGTGAGGATTTTTTAGGGATTTGTTTTCTCCCGGTACACCCACTCAAGACCTCTCAGGATTCCAATAGCTTCCCAATTTGGCATAGTACAAAACATGGACTGGACTGGACAGTTGGACTGGACAGTTGGACTGGACAGTTGGACTGGACAGTTGGACTGGACAGTTGGACTGGACAGTTGGACTGGACAGTTGGACTGGACAGTTGGACTGGACAGTTGGACTGGACAGTTGGACTGGACAGTTGGACTGGACTGGACAGTTGGACTGGACAGTTGGACTGGACTGGACAGTTGGACTGGACTGGACAGTTGGACTGGACTGATTTTTACATTTTATCTATTCTTGACTTGCACGTCAGCCACCATGTCAGGTGGCATGGCACAAAAGAATATTTTATCACAGAATAGATATACTGTGTCATGTCTATTTTGTGATTTTATCGATGAACATTGTCTGGTGTGTACCAGGAGATTGGTTTCAAGTCAAGAATATAATGTTTTGCACCTGAATTACTTTTGATTTTCGGAAATTGAAAATACTTTACCTTCCTCGATGACCTCACTTTATAACTGGAGTGAAATCTCTTAAAGTGAAAGAAACCCCAGTAAGGGGCCGACCATTTAACTTTTGAGGGGGGGAGGGGGGTTTGCTGCTGGAAGGGAATTTTTTTTCTGGGATCGTTATATGTGCAAGATTTTTTTTCCCTATCCCATCACCATGTACCATATTTTTTTTGCCACTCTCTCTTTCACAGCATTTTTTTCAATAGCTTATACCATTTAGATTCTTTAATTAATAATAGTTAACGTTGAGTTTTCTAGCTTCATGCATTGCTTTTAATAATACATATTGCTATGAGGTACAGGGCTGCCGAGAGAATTCGCGGGGGCCGGGGCAAATCTGCCCTGGGGGCCCCATGACATCATTATTTTTAAGCTAGACCCAACTAGAGCTTAGCTAGACTGCATGTGGAGGTACTGTAAGGAGCCCTCAATTTCAAAAATTCTCTGACCAATTTAAAGAATCTACTCAATTTTAGGCTCTCGCTCTCAAGTTGGCGCCCTATTAAGGTGGGGGCCTGGGGCAATTCCCCCCTGCCTCCCTCTCTGCAGCCCTGATGAGGTATAAGATTTGGTTCAGAGCCTCTTTACAGATGTGTAACTGGAGGGGACATATTTAGCGGGGGGACCTGGAGAAGTTACAGTCGGCAAGTCTGTATCACTGCAGCTACCAGCATATATATGCATGGTTTAACTAATTAATAAGTATACATCACAGGGCAGCAGATCAGGCCAATATTAACTAGGATTCTGAGACAACCGAGTCGACCACCGAAGGTGCAAGCCTCTGGAGGGGTCTGGGGGCATGCCCCCCAGAAAATTTTGGATTTCGTGAAGCTCAGATAAGCTATTTCCCGCATTTTGAGGAGTTTTCCAACATGAAATTAACCTTACACTAGTCTCCGAAAATCAAACCAGCTGATCTTCTGGGACTGGTCAAATCGATCCCTGCAACCATGCTGTTTTACAACATTTTTTTCCCACCAAATACTGGGGCAGGGTATTCCCCCCCCCCCCAGTTTGTTAGTGCAGGCATTTTTTTTGTTCAGAATAGCCTTGCAGGAAATGTTTTTTCAAAATCACCCCCTCCTCAAAAGTTAAATGGTCAGTCAGCCCCTAAGTAGAATAGAATACAACACCAAACATAAACTAGTTATAGCCTGCGGGTAGCCTGCTCGGATACGTATTAAATTTTGATATTTCAGCCTGCATGGCCATGGGCGTAGGAAGATCGATATTTTTTGGGGGGTGGGGCTCATATTCATATATTCATGTTCGCAGACTGTAAAAACAATCAATTTCAAAAGAAGTAAATGATGCAGAACACGAATGTATGAATATGAGCTCCCCCCCCAATTATCGATCTTTCTACGCCCATGGCCATGCAGACTGAAATATAGAAATTTAATACGTATGCGAGCAGGCTACCCATAGCAAAGACAGATAAGTAGTTTATGTTTGGTATTGTATTGTATTCTACTTGCTGGGGTTTCTTTCGCTTTAAGAGATTTCACTCCAGTTATAAAGTGAGGTCATCGGGAAGGTAAAGTATTTCAATTTCCGAAAATCAAAAGTAATTCAGGCGCAAAACGTTATATTCTTGACTTGCAACCAATCTCCTCCTGGTATACACCAGACAATGTTCATTGATAAAATCACAAAATAGACATGACATGGTATATCTATTCTGTGATAAAATATTCTTTTGTGCCATGCCACCTGACACATACCTAATTTTAGTGTGCAGTGATAACCAATTTGTGCAGTGATAAAAGCAAAATGTGCAGTGATAAAATGCAAAATGTGCAGTGATAAAATTTGTTTTGATAAACGAAATAAACTGATTTGGGCCGGCGCACACAAACACTAAAGGCTTTCACTCAAGTTCTCAACGCACAAGGAGTCGAGGAGTGATCAGTGGGAGGGGTACTTGTCAAAAATGCCAAATTATATTGTTTATTTTACTTACCTTGTAATAAAGCTTCAAAATGCATGACAATGTTTATTCCGAAATACTCAATTTTGCTTTGGTATGTACTTCATATAACTATAATATCGTGTCATATACCGATGACGTTCCGATCGTAAGGCGAGCAACGAATTGTGAACACGTGCAGTCGTACACTTATTAAAAGTGAACTTAAAGGAAGTAAAATGTCTCATGCAAAACAGCGAAAAATTGACAGTTTTGTGCAATCAACCGAAACTAAATCGTCGAACACAAGCGACAAGCAACTGGACGGAGTGGACGAAGCAGAAGTACCCACTACGTCTACAGAGCCTGATTCTACGAATAGCAGTGAAGAATCTATCGCTGAAATAGACGAAGATTTTACGACCTTTGCCAGTAGTTCTGACAGTGGTCACAGTTTTGTCTCTTCTCTATCATCTGAGTTTGATTCGTGTGTGTTAACAGTAACAGAAACACAATTGTCATCTGTGAAACCGAATTCATCGAATGCAGCCAAATCAAATGCGTCCTTCGACGACAAGTCTATTCAACGTGTGCCAGGGAGAGGAAAAAGAAAACGCGTTGTTTGTAAGGTATGCTTGCCAAATCTCGAAATTGTGAAGCATGCATGTTACAGGGGAAGAGTGCCGCCAATTTGTCAACCTGGAGGTACTGAAGCAAGAGAACAAACAATCCAAGAACACTTGCAGAGCCCAGCGCACCAGCAATGCCTCAAAGCAGAACGATTAAAGAAACTTTCAAGTGTAGAAAAATCTCAATATGTGCCATTGATGAAAATGGTCAACTCACAACGACAGCAACTAGCCAATAACATTGGATCGTTAATAATTCATGTCTATAATGATGCAAAATGCTTAACATCGTCCGCCTTTTCCTGGCCGTCTAGGGTAATTGCTGCAAAAATGGCTCATGAGTTTGATTGCAATAAACCATTTAATTCGTACAGTCCTACCAATTTCGACCTGCAATATATTAGACCACCAGTTGTGCAGGAACTTTTACGGACTATAGTGTCTGCTGATTTGCCAAGAATCAAGAAGGAAATTGATTCATGCATTGCTGCATCTTTTCGTTGTGATGCATCTATGGA